TACCTACTCTTTTCCTCTTACAATATGCAGCCTATTACAAACAAGAATGCTGTTGCTGGACTTGTTCATAAACATGTCCAGACCTTAGTCTGGATTATCAAAAGTAATGACACCAATATCCTCTTCCTTTACTACCTTTATTTATTCTTTCTAAAGATTAATTTGGAAGACTACTTCTTCCAACATAACTTGCTGTTATGTTTATTCAGGGTATTTTTCTCCTATGTTTGCTGACATTAAGTTTTATTTGATGCCTAATGTACTGCCAGCTGATGGTCAGTGTTTGTTAATCCTAATAGAAAAATCCTACTTGCATGCTACCAACTTTTGTAAGGAGAAACAAACAACAGACATAATTGAAGTAGCCCTCAAGTAGTTGTTAAGTAGAGCAGAACTTTTATCTGTATTATGCATCTTTAATTTGACAACTTGTCTTTTCATAAGCACATAGTTTAAAAGAATAGTAGGTTTAGAAAATAACTAAGCATGGAATTCTGGCATACTGTAAATACAAAAGGCAAGCCTGTATGGCCCTGGCACCCTTTGTCTCCCAGCTAGAGACATTAGTAATGGCTAATGGGAATCAGTCACCTTAAGAAAGGAATATGATCAGGTATTATCAAGCAAAGATGCCAGTGCTAGTTCTTCCTGAAACAGGGCAGTCATTCTGACGACAAGACACACACACACCCCTACCCCATGAACTTAGAAAATGCTCAGTTCTCCTAAATACAGCTATTCTCAAGGTAGAAGTAACACTAACCTATTTGACAGGATATAAAAAATGACTAGTTCAGTTTCACAGGGTGAAATAGTGTTGTTATATTTTGAAATACAGTTAAAGAGTTATATTGATAACCCTTTTCCTTCATTTATGATATGAAGTCCATGAATTTCAGTAATCTTTATTATAACACTTCTACAATACAAACTTTCAGAACAGCAAGAGAAGAAGAAGATCCCATCAGCTGGGCAAATAGTGTTCCCACAATGTAAATCAGTAAAATAAACACAGTTTTTGAACATGCATCTCAGTGCTTGCTGAATTGGAAAATTTTGTATGAGTAAAATCAAGAATGCATTTACAGTGCATAAACTGTGCACATAAGCACTTTTCTGAATTGAGACCTAACATCTCTGTCCACAGTCTCTTTATGAATAAGTAGCAGAATCCAGCTTTTTGGCACATTAGCTTTACAGAACATGAGTTAGTGGAAAACACTTTATGCAGTAGAATTGAGAATAACTTGAAAAACACAGAGTAAATAGAGAACAGTTATCAGGACGAGGGGGCATAAAGCCTCCTCGAAATCCTAAATTCAAATGTGCCTTAAGTCATGACTGAAATAAACTTGTTGATTTCAACTGAGTGGCTAAGAGAAGAGGCTTGTTCAGATCATTACATTGCAAGAGAAGTGTTTATAGCTGCCAGGCTTCATTCCAGAGAGAAAAGTGTCAAATAAATGCATATTTTATATAAATATATGAGCAGGGTAAGAAAAAAAATATTAAAAATATCTAATGGTAGACAACAAAGTATTGTCCTGATCTGTCTTACTAAGCATCATCGGAGACTCTCATAAACAACAGTAATTCACAGAAACAGTAAATAAAGTTTATAAATGAATGAAACCCTGATGACACCCTCTCTGAGGAGAGAAGTAGAAATAATTCCCTCAATCCTTCTGCATGGGAAAGCCAGAGAAATGTGCAAACTAATGATATGTGAAATGAAGACTAAAGAGTTCAGGATCTAACTTAGATGATGCTTCTGACCTAAAGCACTAGTAAATCCTTTTTATTGCTGCACTTGCCATAACACTTACATGGGGAGAAAAAGACTCTTTGCTGGGAATTAAGCATCCTTTTATAACAACCTCCAGTGGAATTACAGGAATAGCATTTGTTTCCCATGGATTCAGTTATCTGGCCTCAGGAAAGCAGGATAAAGTTGAATTACGTGCCTGGGAGCTAGATCTGCCTGGTGTGTGTAGGTGAGCCGCACTGCAGTAGTGTGGCCCTCCTGAGTTCTGTCAATGCGGTTGGTTGGTTGCGCATCTGCTTTAGAAACAAGGCCTGGGGACCAGTCCTGTGTCTGCTCTAGGGGCAAGGCCAGGGTGCCAGTCCTGCTTCCATAATAAAACTGCTGTGGGAAAGGGCTGTAGGGTTGTATTTACACAATGTGCTTCACACCATGGCCATTAAAAGTTGCAGTGGCTTAACCCAGGAAATGGTGCTCAACCAGATGAGGGACAGTAATGGTTAGGATTGGCATTGCTTTCTGTGTGCCTCTGCTAGTGAAGCTGCAAGTCTGCTACTAAGAACAGAAACAGCCGTTCTGGGGATTCTCCCAGGAAAGAGCAATGTCAGAACTGACACAATGTTTGCAGTAATAAACTGTGCTGGCAAAATTCTTGCAGATGTCACCAAAATGTAAATGAACTCCACTGACTCAGGGAAGTAATCTCCAGAAGAGAGACACAGAACTTATTTGCATTTCGCAGAGAATTACAAATATCATTGCATTTTCTCCTCCTCTCAGACTGAAACTGTTGGCTCAGTGTCAACAGTGCAGAGATACATTTCTCTTTCTTGAAACTAGTTTAATACGAAGATAATAAAGTGTGTATCCCTGTGCTTGTCAGCCAGCTGTTTTTCACACGTACTTTGCTGCAGGAATCCTGATTCTCAGTAACTAAGAATACAGTATATTATACAGTACAACAGAAACACGTAGAAGTATATAGCTGGTACAGAAACAAAAAGGTCACTTAACAAAAATACAAGAGATTCACTTCAGTAAGATGCAATGAGGACAGTCCACAAGCTTTTGTTGGGGCTTCAAACACTTTCTTGCCCTGAGTACTACACTGGAGATAGTAGACAGCATTTGCCTGTAAAGTACTATAGAAACCCCATTCTGGAAATATTCTCTGCAACATGAGTTAACAAGAAGGACAAGAAATTCACCTGGTGATAAGAATGTATGAACAATTTAGGTACAATACAACATCTTCATTTTTGTTGTCTGGAGAAAGGAAAGATCCTCAGGATAAAACCAAAATACACAGAGATAGTATGGGAATGTTACTTATATTTCCCACTTTTTAAAAACATAGGCCAAATATGAAATAAAACCAACAGCCATAAGTGTTATGTGTTCACCATAAAGAATAAATAGCACAGTAATGCCCACTGCAGAAGAGATGAAAGCATATTAAAATAAAACCTAAAAAAAAAAAACAAAACAAAAAAAAAAACAAAAAAAAAAAAAACAAAACCAGACCATATTTCCATAGCAAGGCTCTTTTTTTCCTATTTTCTGTCTTCACATAACCTATGTATTATTCATTAGAAGTAATTGCTCCGCCTAAGGTAAGTGTGCTCATAAATCATCTTCTACAGGGCACAGAAAGAGCAGGAAAATTAGAATGTGACTTAACATAGAACGTAAGACATACATGATGTGCTGCAGACAGTGTTGGTTGGGTTTAATTTAAATCATCAAGGAAGAGCAGAGTTAAGGTATTAATTACCCTTTTGGTTATTGACATGTGCGATTCATTCAGTTAAAGCCCCATTCTACTCAAATGCATTGGTATGTCAGTTCACAGCCTCAGTGCTACCATCTGTCCTGAGAGAACTGCAATGCAATTTGAACACTGCTGACCCTTTCAGTAGACACACAGGCACACAGTAGAGTTGTTCTGACAAAACTGGATCATCCTTGTACAAAGGATGACTGAACAAGCCAAAAAAAAAGGGGGGGGGGGGGTTAGGGTTTACAGTCTTGATGTATTAAATTGTGCAGAATTTGTTTATTGTTTGGTGCTTGAGAAATGGACTCGTGTCCTGAGAGATGCTAACGTCCTAATGATGTGGTGTTGGGTAACACACTACTCTTTGGCACTAATGCCATGCCTTCCCTTTGAAAAGGGGAACTTTGGATACCAAGTTCCTGACACATCATCTCTTCTAGCAGAACAGAAGGAAGTATGTTGGTTAGAATGGTGGTAGATTTCTGGTCATGTAGCTGCCCATTGCACTGACAAGTCTAGCAAGCACCACATTTCCCTGTTGTGTAGGACATTATTTTATCCTAAGAGGGAGCTAACACAATGAAAAATAAGTGCACAGATTTTCCTTCCATAAGCTAAGAAAAGCCATGTGACCCATTATATTGGAACCAGAACGCCCTGCCACACTTTACTTAGAAGAATGGGGCACCTACAGCATCAGAGTTGTATGGTGATAGTTCTGCTCTCAGCCCTTTAGCACTTGTTTCGTCCAAGTCAGAAGAGAAGAGAAGAGATAGGTAAGACACCTGCTTCTGCAGTTATGAAGGACAGGCAAACTGGCATTCACCAAATGGAAGTATAACATGCCTTAAAGTCAGTATCCTTCGTACCACTTCATGGAAACATGAAAACCTTACTTCAGTCTGCTAAGCTGCAGAAAAAGCCTAATTTTATCAGCAGACAATGCCAACAGGGGTGAGAAAAGCTTTTTATTAAAGGATGATAAGTGAAAGGTAAGATGAAGGCTGACATTAGGCAAACTAACTTCATATTAATCTTGGTTGGGGATCATAGCACAGCAACTATTTCTGATAATATATGTATATACACATTTGTAGGAGGCAGACACAGGTTTTATGGGTTTGATGTATTCATACTAAATTATCTTGAGTAAGAATCCAAAGGACGGTGTCTATAGAGTAAGACTAATGAAATATTCCATTAATTCAAAGACATCTATCACAAATGTCACCACATCCCTACCATAGAAAGAGGTTCCATACAAACATTGCGTGCATGCTGATGGGACCCATGTCTACAACCTACTCTTCTCTACCCAAGCCTCTGAGCCCCAAATTGCCCACTGCAGCCAGGCCTGCTTTTTGTGATAACACAACTAATCCTTTTAACCCACTCTTCAACCTAACTGAACAGCCTGGTAACTGACCTTCTTGCATCTTTCTCCTGTCCACTCTAACTAAGCTGTTCTGTGCGAGGAGCAGAGAAGAGGTACTGTAGCAGATGGAAGAGGTATTAGTGTTTTCACTGGCTCTTCAATGTTAACTACTGGGACAAGTAAGTGTATTTTTATTTGGACAAAGCTTAATGAAACAACTGGTACAAATAGTCTTTGAAAATAAAGATCCCATTCCTGCAGATGAGGATTTCCTTAATATCTCCTCCATGATTTCCTCCTTCCACTCAGGAAGCTATTGTTACACTGAAGAAGCCACACCTAAAGCAAGTGTGACAGATCAACTACATGTTATTCCAAGTTTCAAGAACCTTTCTCCCACACTCATTCTTGTAATTCAATAATAATAATGAAAACTAAGTATATTAATATATATACTAATATATATTAATAGATATACTTAATATATATAAAATTATATATTAAGTAAAGAAATATGTTTCTTTACAGGAACATATTAATTAGAATTAAAAGTTGTTACTTCAGGATGAGGCAAAACCTTTAAGTCGTATTTCTCTGCTTAAAATTGCTTTTAGAGCTTACAGAAAAAAAAATATTACCAAGATCAAAACAATTTGCCAAAATTTCAGTGGAGAAAAATAAAAATTTAATTAAAAGATACAACCATAAAAAAAAAAGTCATTTCAAATCTAATTTGATAAGCTTACAAATAAAGATTGTAAGTCATACTCCTGACTTAAAGATGCTTGCATGGATGAACAGTTCATCTGATCTTCTCTCACGGTCGCTATGCATGTACATGAACACTGCATATGTAAAAGTGGTATGAATGCAGCTTTGAAAAGACAGCATTCCCCCAGCACATCTTACGGGCATCCTGCTCCTTTGGAATTCTACCTTGGTGAAGTGTCTGCTTCTTTGTAATTTTATGTTTGGGAACAATTGAGAGATAAGCAGGTAACTGAGCCAGTGCACAAGATAATTTGACTGGACACTGTATTGATTCCTCCTATAATGATTCATGGACTGAAGACTTGTTCGGGTAGAGGAGAAGCAGCGCAAAAGAAATTACAGGATACCCTGTACTTCATCAGTGATACTACCTCCTAGTCAGTGAGAGAGCAAAAAAAATCTTATGCTAAATTAATCAGAGGAAATAGGCACATAATTCATACAGGCCATAATCATCTTGACAAATATTGTAAATTAATGTATTAAAAATTGTTCATCACTTTTTATCTCAGTCACAGTAATTTTCTATGGTTGATACATATACGTTTCTCTTAGCAGTTTTCGGGTAACTAAACATTGATAAAGGGCAACATGAGGAACAAACATAAACATTATTAGGCTATCTCTAATCTTTTGTCACAGAGGGTTTAACTCCAAGTAACACAGGAGATGAACAGGAGCAGTGACTGTACAACCAAAAAGCTCATTGAAGAGCCTAGGCACTTCCTGCATCAGTGATGTTGCCCATACCTTCACAAGCAGTGCTTGCAGGCTCAGGTATATTGCTGAGGTATATTGCAATGAGGCCATCTGTTTTCTGTTTTTATCATCAACCCTATCTTCCCTGACCCAACCCTAAAATCTGGTATTTCAGGAAACTATGCAGCAGCTGCTCATTAGAAAACTGATCTCATCCCCAGAAGGATTTAACAAGATACTATTGACAAGCAACACATCAATTTAATAATCCAAACAGCATGATAATTCTTGTATCATATGCTGTTAGCACAAGGGAGACCAGAGGATCTAAAGTGAAAGTCCTTGCACTATGTGATACTCAGTACAGTCTTTAGAACTAATTGTAATACTACAACATGCACAGCCTGAGTATGATAAAACTGTAGGTGTAGCTCCATAAAACACAGTGGTTACCATACTTAACATTTCTAGCACATTTCTCCAATGCAGAACTAATTGTAATACTACAACATGCACAGCCTGAGTATGATAAAACTGTAGGTGTAGCTCCATAAAACACAGTGGTTACCATACTTAACATTTCTAGCACATTTCTCCAATGCAGAAGCTATCTAGGAGGTGGGATTTTATTTTTGGACAGTATTCATACCTTCACTGAGGGGGTGAGGAGACACGGTAAACACCCAAACAACAGAAAACACTAACAAAAATCACACACAAACCAACCAGAGAAAGACTCTCACAAACCACCAAACCAAAAAAAAAAACCACTTAACTTCAAACCACATTCGTTCACCTTCCTGTACCAATTTACCTCTTCCTGCTCCAAGTCATGAATGACCTGTCATTGTAGTACAGTATCAAAACAATCCCACCACTCTTGATTAGGACCCCTTAAAAAGATACCTCTCAAGGTTCTTTTCATTCACAGGAAAAAGGACCAGGTTTTTAAAGCTGTTCAAAGCTCTGGGACTCTACTGCTGTTGGCAGGGATTTCTCTCAAATCCTTAACTGCAAGGTCATTATGAAGATAGTGTCCAGTACAGATGACACACACCCTATTGTGTCTTGCTAGGATTTGATATTTCTTTAGTAACCCTGGAGCACCATTTTCCCCCTTTTATTACTTTCAGTGCTACATCACTTTCATGAATAAGACTTCTTCAGAATAGCATTCACTTTTCTCCAGCTCACACATTGTAATTTTACTGTGTTGTATAAAATAGGAGCTGTTTTCATGCTGTCGATTTCTTTAAAAAGAAAATCATTGTCTACTAACGTAAACAATATATTTAAATTTGCTCTTAATCTTTGACTGCTTTTTAATCTGGTTGTTCATGCACAAGAAATTGAAGATGCCAGAATTGAAGTTGCATTGTATACAGTTGTTATGCAAATGTTCCTCCACATAAGAGCAGGTGCATACAGTTCACATATCTGGCACATATTTAGCAATCTGTTTTGGGATGGTGATAAATTCTTCTAATGCGAACTCTTTACATCACCCTCACACTGAAGGACATTGTGAGCTCCTATATATTGCATATATAATGTAATTTATACCTTTTTGGTAGAGAAGAAGTACGTTTAGCTAGGTTGAGTTGAGTCACCTAAACTGGTCACACGATGTGAATCCTCTTGGCCTAACAATGAGAAGAAGCCTAAGAACACAAGACATGTGTCAGCACATAGTTAAAATGAATAATTAAAGCAGGTAAGAGAAAACTGAATAAGGGGTTCCTTTTGGGGACTGGGTGGGGGGAGGTATTGCCTTTTTGGGGGGGAGTGAGTGAGGGGTGTGATTCTTTTTTGTTAACTGACAGTTGTAAAAGTCTTTGCTGTTAGTAGGTATGTAAATGAAAATCCCTTTGCAGTCATGCATGATCAGGGACAGAAATAACTTCCTTTTCTGTTATAAAGTTGTTTGTATCCTTCTGCATGTGTTTGCCCATGCACTAGAAAGGGGATGGAAGACGATTTTACACCAGCCAAGATAACAGTTTCTCCACCAAGAATCCCATAGATTTTTCAAAGATTCCTTTTTTTTTTTTTTTGCCTTCCAGTGGATAAACAGGAATAATTTAACAGACACATTTCCAATAGGAATATTAATGGAAGTAAGGGAGGTAGGATGGTTTGTATACAGGCGTGTTAGGAGTTAACAGCAGGGCTCAGGAAACAATCAAAGGTCAATTTCTGATGTAGTGGTGGGTTAATAGTCAAAGGAAGATCATTCTGCCTCACCCAAAATAACAAATTGGCCCAGAGATGAAATCACAATTCTCTGATAAACTGCAAGAACAACAGTTAGTGACCTTTAACATTAAAGATAAAAAAAAAAAAAAAAGATGTGAACACACAGGTGAAAGCTGGATGGAATTTCCCTCTTCATGTTATTCCAGGCAGTATCCCTAAAAGGGCTTTCATTTACATAGCTTTATTAGAACCACCCCTGCAGGGCACACTTATTTTCTGGTCCCTTTCGTGCAAAAGACCATATTTTAACAAATAACTTAGTTTTAAGAACAGGGAGGACTACCCACAGCCTAGACTCCTGATTGCTGGGAAGGTGATGCAGCACACACAGATGTTTCTGAGGACATCTGCAAATGAGAGTCTTAGCATGTCTTCTGTTTGAGGAGCAACCCAGGACCTCTCCCAACTTCCCAGCAGGCAGGAAGGTGTAGCACCTAATCTCTAGCAGCTATTGATGTTTGCCCTCTGCCAAATTAGCCTTGAATTGGAAATTACATTTTTATATTTAAAATACACACATATACACACTGCAGTTGATATAGAAAGGTGAATAAATGTACTTTCCTACGGACTACTACTTGGCTTGGGGGGGTAGGTGGTTGGTTTATTTTTGAAGGTCTTCCTCTGCCATCTCAAACCAACATAAAATTATTTATAAGGAACTACATGGAACCTAGAAAATAAGCTGTATATGGAAGGCAGCTGAATGTCTTAAATACTTTTTTTTAAACCCAGTTCAGCTCTGCTGGCCAAAGATAAATAGGGGAGAGTGCAGAATACATGGCATGTAGCAAGCAGCCCAGCAGATACATGGAATAGTGTTTGGCTGTATGGCAAATCCTGTACTCCAGTATACCAATCCTCTTACCAAACAGGTCTTTTATAACAAGCAATAGGGATTTTAAAGAAAGGGATTTTTTCCCCATGGTTTTTCTACAGATCCTTCAGTGTCCTTGAATTCTGGTGGTTCCTTTAGCAACAAAAAGACTAGGCGACCGAAATCATCCCAGGAATCAATATCTGGTTTGCTATTATTGACATTCCTGCAACTGTCTAAGCAGAAGTCCTAGTCCTATTCAGACAAAATCTGAGGGAACGAAATCGCTTCTTAATGGTATAAGAAAACTCCTTGATTTATGCAGGCAGATACTGCTGTAGCTTTTACAGACAGAAATGATAACCTAAGTCATACTATAGACTTTGTATAGCCCGTAATATCAACACCATAATTCATATGGAAGTGCATAACAACACTGCAAAACTGTTTTAATTATTTTTTTAAAATCACATCACCTGGAAGGACAGACTGTGAAATACCATATATGATCTCACCCCTTAAAGAAAGGTCTTTGAATCCCAGCATTTAACAGGTTTCTGTCTTAGCACACAGTTCCTTACATAACTAGCTAGATCAGTATTTTAGTTGTCATTATTTTCTAAGCAGTAAGTGTCA